GAAACATTGAACAGACTGTCAAACCTCAGAGGGAAGGCAGGGGAGGAGGGAGGGGGAGGGGATCAACCAATGAACTTGTGTGCATATATGCATAACCCATGGACACAGACAATAGGGGGGTGAAGGCCTGGGGGGAGAGGGGGAGGAGAGGGCAATGGGGGAAAAGGGGGACATATGTAATTCTTCCAACAATAAAATTTTTTAAAAAAATGCCTGGCCAGTGTGGCTCAGTGGTTGAGCATCAACCTAGGAACCAGGACATCACCGGTTCGATTCCTGGTAAAGGCACATGCCCGGGTTGCAGGTTCCATCCCCAGTAGGGGGTGTGCAGGAGGCAGTCGACCCATGATTCTCTCTCATTGATGTTTCTATCTCTCTCTCCCTCCCCCTTCCTCTCTCTGAAATCAATAAAAAGAAATATTTTTAAAAAAGAAAAAGGATCATCAAATTTTGTGTGTAGATACAGTATGACAACCATGTACAAAGATGGCATATTCCAGGAGCAGGCCACTCCCCACCTCCATGGCTTTGCTGGTGCTCTTGTTGGAAAGCCCTTTCCCCCTCTATCCACCTACATTTCTTTCCATCTCCACTCTCACCGCTGTAAACGAAACCACGCTAGCCTCTCACCCTGACACTTTCAGGAGTCTTCCACTTGAGCTCAATGCCTTCAGTTTCTCTATCCTCAAGTGATCTTTGTCTTTGTTGTTGTTAATCCTCCCCCGAGGATATTTTTCCACTGACTTTTAGGGAGAGTGGAAGAGAGGGGAAGACAGAGAGAAACATCAATGTGAGAGAAACACATCGATTGGTTGCCTCCTGCACGAGCCCCGACTAAGGCCCGGGCCAGGAGGAGCCTGCGACCCAAGCACATGCCCTTGACCTGAATCAAACCCTTTGGTCCGCAGGCCGATGCTCTATCCACGGACCCAGAGCGACTAGGGCTCAAGTGATCTTTGAAATATACAAATGAGACCTCCCCCTTCTCCCTGGGATCACTGGCCTCCAGACGTGAAGGATAAAGTCCGATCTCCAACCTCATGTCAAACACACCTCCACCGCCACCCATTCTCTGAGCTCCAGCCACAGTGGCCTCTCACTGGGTGCCTCTACCCCCAGCCAGTGTCCCCAGTCCTCCTGCTTAACCACTTTCCTGGCCACCACCATGGTTGGGGGCCCAGCAGGCTCCACAGTAAGCCAGCTCCATTCAGGACACCCAGGAGGTGGCTTCTACAGCAGCTGAGAAGAGCGACGGCAAGGATCTGAACTTGAAAAGGGCAGCAAGAACAGAAGAGACCCATGAGCAGTCCAGTGACTGGTGACTTCAGGTGCCCTAACGGAAGTGCGAGTCCCAAGCCTCACAGCCGTATGGTTGAGGCCAGGCTCGAACACGCAGGAAGGCAAATGATGATAATCCTGGAATCACCATGGTACCTGCTCATCTGCTGATACCAATAGGGCCGATCTCAGCCTGGACAGATAGGTCAGGAGTCAGGGGTTTAGGTAAGTTCCCTAAAATCTGGGAATATAACCCTATCTCACAGGGCCAGCCTGTGTCCAAGGCTCTTCTGTAGGTTAAGGACGCAGGGGATGGGGAAGGAGCACAGCTTTGCTTTCCACAGCTCTGGATTCGAATCCTGGCTCTTCCGCTTATTAGCTGTGTGACTCTGGGCAAGTTGCTGAACATCTCTGAGACTCCCTTTCTCCTCTGTAGTATCAAAATCATCCAGTCGTTAAGAACCTGGACTTTGAAATCTGATTTCTGGGGCTGTCTCCTCTATGGACCTACTATCGATGGAGCCTCTGAGCTTTAATCTCATGGGGGGGGGGGGGGGAAATGGAGATAATAATCCCATATTCCTCATGGGATTGTTGTGACGATTAAGTAAGATATTGCAAGTACTTAGCACAAGTACCAGCACCAGGAAGCACTTAACAGTCAGTGACTATAATTATTATCATGGAAAGCACCCAGTCGGTGTTTGACACATTAGGGGGCTTGATAATTGTTAGTTCACCACCACCACTACCCACCCACCTATCCCTTTTTTAAAAAAAAAATATTTTTTATTGATTTTTTACAGAGAGGAAGGGAGAGGGATAGTTAGAAATATCGATGAGAGAGAAACATCCATCAGCTGCCTCCTGCACACTCCCCACTGGGGATGTGCCAGCAACCCAGGTACATGCCCTTGACCGGAATCGAACCCGGGACCCCTGAGTCCGCAGGCCGACGCTCTATCCACTGAGCCAAACCGGTTAGGGCCCACCTATCCCTTTTCTCTGAGCCAAGAGGATCCACATGTCACCAAGACCATACTTATTCTCAGGACACGTACATTCCAATTCCAGATCTCTTCACGGGCCTGGGGGAGGGCACACGACCCAGCCAGGCAGCGGTCACGGCCAAAACGTACTGGCTTCCTGGTTACGGGGACCTCGCTCAGATGGAACACTGTTTACACCTGACAATAACCAGGTCCGGGTAGAAGAATCCTTTTCTGAAGATTCACTCATTTATACAGAAGGTCCCAAGGTACAGAACAACAACAAAAAAGGTGCTATCGCCCAGCCGGCGTGGCTCAGTGGTTGAGCATCGACCTAGGAACCAGGAGGTCACGGTTCGATTCCCGGTCAGGGCACATGCCCGGGTTGCAGGCTGGATCCCCAGTCGGGGGCGTGCAGGAGGCAGCCGACCCATGATTCTCTCTCATCATGGATGTTTCTATCTCTCTCTCCCTCTCCCTTCCTCTGTGAAATAAAAATATAAAAAATGCTTCGTTTAAAAAAGATAAAGAAAAAAAAAGGTGCTTTCAAAAATGTGTCCTGACAGAGTGTGTCTGCGAGGTGGGGACCAGCCAGCCACACCCGGGCACAGCATCCCCAGGCAAGCAGCCAGGGAGGCCGGGAGGCAGGAACCCCCAAGGTGGCAGAGAACCCGGGGAGGAATAGAGAACTGGCAGCTTCGGGGAGAGAAAAGGGCGCAGGGGACAGGAGGACTGAACAGGAGAGCAGAGACTGCAGCCCAGAGCACCAGGGAGGGCAGGCGAGGGAGGAAAGCGGAAAAGATCAGGGCAGAGGAAGGAGCCTGCCGGATTCCCCTCTGAGCCGCTTTGCATATACAAGACGGATGTCCCCCGATTCTGCACCAAGACCAAGCCCAGTTCCTCTGCCTGCGCCGGGGCACTCGCTCACCGCCGGCCTCCAGAGACACAGCTGTCATCAGGGCATGGTTGTCATGACACTAGGAGGCTCCACTCCCACTCAGGGAGGCCCCTCGGTGAGCCAGGGCAGGGGGCCCTGCTGCTGAGGGTGTGGTTGTGGATTTGGTCTTAGCACGGCTTGTTCAAGGAGAGGAAGGCTGCGGGGCTCTTCCTTGAAATCCAAAATGGAAGTCGATGAAAGAAATTCTCAGCGCGGGTGAGCCCCGGGGACCCCGCTTCTCCCAGGAACCTCAATCGTCCTGGGGATAAAGCAAAGAGACGTGAACTGAGCACATTTTATAAAAGTTTTTTTTAAAATATATTTTATTGATTTTTTACAGAGAAGGAGAGGGATAGAGAGTTAGAAACATGGATGCGAGAGAAACATCGATCCCCTGCCTCCTGCACACCTCCTACTGGGGATGTGCCCTCAACCAAGGTACATGCCCTTGACCGGAATCGAACCTGGGACCCTTCAGTCCGCAGGCCGACGCTCTATCCACTGAGCCAAACTGGCTAGGACTCAGCCTCACCTCTTTAGAGGTGGCCCAGGGAGCCAGCCTGACATCTCCAATTGTTTCTCTGTCCAAGACTCACTTTATTTATTTATTTTTTAATATATTTCTTTATTGATTTCAGAGAGGAAGGGAGAGGGAGAGAGAATCATTGATTGGCTGCCTCCTGCACACCCCACACTGGGGATCGAGGCCACAACCTGGGCATGTGCCCTTGACTGGAATCAAACCCGGGACCCTTCAGTCCACAGGCCGACATTCTATCCACTGAGCCAAACCGGCTAGGGCTGTCCCTTGCTTTTATAAATCTCTGGGGATTTCTTGTAGATTGACACAGTTCAGATCCACCAAAAAAGAAAGGTCCCAGCCTAGCCGGTTTGGTTCAGTGATAGGCATCAGCCTGTGGACTGAAGGTTCTGGGTTCAATTCCGGTCAAGAGCATGTACCCTTGGTTGCAGGCTCCTCCCTGGCCCGGGCCCTGGTCAGGGCGCGTGCAGGAGGCAACCAATCGATGTGTTCCTCTGACATCAGTATTTCTGTCTGTCTTTTTCCCGCTCTTCCACTCTCTCTGAAAATCAATGGAAAAATATCCTCGGGTGAGGATAAAAAAAAAAAAAAGAGCCCTAACTGGTTTGGCTCAGGGGATGGAGCATCGGCCTGCGGACTGAAAGGTCCCAAGTTCGATTCCGGTCAAGGGCATGTACCGTGGTTGCTGGCACATTTCCAGTAGGGGGTGTGCAGGAGGCAGCTGATCGATGTTTCTCTCTCATTGATGTTTCTAACTCTCTATCCCTCTCCCTTCCTCTCTGTAAAAAAATCAATAAAATATATTGAGGAAAAAAAAAAGGAAGGTCCAGATTGTCCTCATTCACACCTGGAAGGAATTTCCCGATGCTAACACAACCTCAAAAAGGCCACAAAATTCCAACAGGCTGGAGGGTCAAGTTTACACGCTGTCTCCTTGTCCTACACACAACCACCGTTGGTACGAACAAAACTCCTGCCAAGCCCGGCCTGTGTGGCTCAGCGGTTGAGCGTTGACCCAGGAACCAAGAGGTCACAGTTCCATTCCCGGTCAAGGGCACATGCCTGGGTTGTGGGCTCGATCCCCAGTAGGGGGCATGCAGGAGGCAGACGATCAATGATTCTCTCTCCTCACTGATGTTTTTATCTCTCTCTCTCTCCCTCTCCCTTCCTCTCTAAAAAGCAATAAAAACACACAACTCTTGCCAAGAGGTAAACCACTCCCACGCCAGGTCCATAGTCATTGCCCTTGACCTACCCACTCCGCATCCTCTGCCCCGTCCCCCTGCTCTCGGGTCTCTGCCGCGGCCCCCTCGGAAGACTTTCGGGCCATGATGTTGTCGGTCCACGATGCCCCCGTCTTTGCATCGCCAGCGAAATTACACTTGGTCACTGTTCCAGCCTCAAGTTTGGCTAATGAATCTGAGAGAAGGAAAGAAGGTGAGTGGCCTCTCTTCCTGTGGCGGCAACGAAGTGTCGGGGGGAGGGGGCGGGCCTATTCTACTGGGGTCCCTGAGGCTGGGGGTAACCCATTGTTCTCTGCAGGCCTGGGTGTGGACCTCAGGGAGACCCTGGATGGGACCCCCAAAGCCCTAGATAGGAGAGGGCACCACCCACAGGTACCCTGGGATTGGACAGCACCCCACGATCCAGGGTGTCCAGACTACTGGCCTCAGGGCACTGCCCTGGGACTTAGGGATATATCTCAAGGGGTCTTGTCCCCGCAGAGGCCAGACCTGGCTGCTCCCAGATCTCTAAGCAGGAGGGGTGGGGGTGGGGGGGCGGCCCGCAGGTCCAATGGGAACACGAGGCCGCAGCGAGGGCTGCACTGCTCACCCAGGAAGGGGCCGTCGCCTCGGGTTTTCAGCCGAACCCCGGCCCCCAGCTCCAGCTCCAGGGCCTCCATCTCCGACTCGGGCATCCAGAAGGCCACGGTCTGCTCGGGCGTGAGGCTCTCCGTCAGGGCGAGCAGCTCCGGCTTATTCACCAGCTCCTTCAGGGCCTCGGGCGTGAGTCTGTCCGTGTCCCCCTTGGCGTCCACCTCTGCAGGCACACAGCACAAGAGGATTGTTCCTGCTGTAGGACCAGCGCTGAGGGCCCTGGCTGACTTGGCTCAGTGGACAGAGCGTCGGCCTGCAGACCAAAGGGTCCCAGGTTCGATTCCGGTCAAGGGCACGTACCTCAATTGCAGGCTCCTCCCCGGCCCATGCAGGAGGCAACCGATCAATGTGTTTCTCTCACATCGATGTTTCTCTCTGTCTTTCCCTCTCTCTTCTACTCTCCCTAAAGATCAATGGGAAAATATTCTCGAGTGAGGTTAAAAACAAATAAATTAAAAAAAACAACAAAAAAAAAGACCAGCACTGAGGGAACCGCCAGGGGAGGACTGGGCAGCCTACATGCTCACAGCCAGCTGAGGGCAGGAGTGAGCCCATCCTTCCCGGACTCAGCAAGGAGCTCATGGCGGAGGAGGTCAGGCATGGGCTCCGGGCCTGGCTCATGGTAGATGCTCATTAAATGTGCAGAGAATTGCCCAGCTGGCGGGGCTCAGTGCTTGAGCATCAACCCATTCACCAGGAGGTCACGGTTCGATTCCCAGTCGGGGCACATGCCCCGGTTGCAGGCTTGATCCCCAGTCGGGGGCGTGCAGGAGGCAGCTGATCAATGGTTCTCTCTCATCATTGAGGTTTCTATCTCTCCTTCTCCCTTCCTCTCTCTGAAATGAGTAAAAAAAATAATAATAATAAATTAAAAATAAATAAATAAATAAATAATGTTCAGCCCTAGCCGGTTTGGCTCAGTGGATAGAATGTCAGCCTGCAGCCTGAAGGGTCCAGGGTTCAATTCCAGTCAAGGGCACGTACAGGTTGTGGGCTTGATCCGTAGCCCTGGTTGGGCTGGATTCCCGGCCTTGGTCGGGGCACATGCGGGAGGCAACCAATCGATGTGTTTCTCTCACATCGATGTTTCTCTTTGTCTCTTTCCCTCCTTTCCACTCTCTCTAAACATCAATGGGAGCCCTAGCCAGTTCGGCTCAGTGGATGGAGCGTCGGACTGCGGACTGGAGGGTCCCAGGTTCGATTCCGGTCAAGGGCACATGCCCGGGGTTGTGGGCCTAACCCCCAGTAGGGGGCGTGCATGAAGCAGCCAATCAATGATTCCCTCTCATCAATGAAGTTTCTCTCTCTCTCTTTCTCTCTGAAATCAATAAAAATAAATTTAAAAATTCAATGGGAAAAACATCCTCGGGTGAGGATCAACAACAACAACGATGTTCAGAGAATGAATGAGCTGTGGAAAGCACGAGTGAATGCAAAGACAGAGGGATGGATGGATTCCGCGCAACCTCAAAACCTACCCACACAGGGGTAGATAGCAGAGTCCTGCTACTGCCCAAACCGGGAGAGACATGACATCCCGAAGGCCCCAAGATCCAGATGAGAATTTGGCAGGAAAGTGGAGGCCCCCAGCGCTCTGGCCTGGGCTCTGCACCAAGGCAGTGAGAGCCGGCCAGAGCCAGGTTGATGGACGATCCT